ATCAGTAGGGCCTTGAAAAGTTTGCAGTGGGGATGGCAATCCTGTCTAGAATAATGTGAGCCTGTAGCAACATGGCCATTTCAGTTACTGTTGGAGGCCCATTAGTGGCAGTGGAGTGGAATCACTCTCCCCATAAAGACCCGAAAAATAATTGGGTTAAAATAGGGACTTCAGTCTTGACACCTGAATTAGAGGTAAAGCATCATTAAGGTCTTCTGCAGGACTGAGCAGAAAAACACAGAGGAAGAGACAAGCCCCCAAGATTACTCCTCAAAGACCATTCCTCCCTCATGTTGTGATGACTTCCAATAAGTGAATATTCTCAAAGACAATTGTTCTGATATGAAAAGAACACAGAACAGAGAGGTATTGCTGTCCAATATAGAACAGAGCTGTAGCCTGTGTGTTTTTATTAGAGCTGAGAGTTTAAGAAAAGAGCCCTGTAATGTGCATGTCTCCCTGGTGAGTTTATGCATGCTCCCACAGCTCTAATAAAAACATACGATGAAGGTAAATTAGGGCAGACGACTGCTTCTGTCAACACTGAGCAAACAGCATCTTTACGGTTTATGTGTGACTTAGAATTCAAGAATGCAGACTTTGTTTTTCATTGATGGGCTTGTTAAAGAAAATTCTTTGATAGTTCCAGAGGAAAAAGAAATTATATAGAAATGTGAAGAGATTAAAGCAGAGAAAGAACCTTGACATCAGACGGGAGCTTGTTTGATTAGGTCACTCTATAGACGAGAAATAATTAAAAATAAAGAAGACAGATGGAAGATGTCAGGTGCTTAAAACAACATCTCGAGTCTACCGATGCTAGTGTTCATGTGAGCCAAGACTTCAGGCTTCACAGATGTCAAACGCGGCTCTTGGCTGAGGGTCTCAGCAGGATGAGGAGAGGCACCAGAGTTGGTGTGGGCAGAATGGAGCTCGTACAAGTCTGACAGCAGCAAAGAACATTTGCTGCTGCTAACAAGCAGAGAAGGAGCTTTGCTGACACCGTTCTGGGGCAGGCAGGCAAGCTTGTCTCTAGCCTGGTTCCCTTTTGCTCCTCACCTGCTGCTGATTGCTCGGTCTGCCTGTGCATTAATGAAGTGGTTTTTTGCCTTAAGGAGCAACTTGTTGGGTTCCCAGGGGAGCTGCTCCCGCCTGCCTGGTGGCTGCGGTGCCGTGCCAGCAGCCGGGCAGGTGGTGGCAGATCAAAAAGAAAAACTCCCACAGAGCTTCTGGGGATTTCCTCACTAATATGCTGATACATACATTAGCTGACTGACTGACACTGCCTAAATATTTGTCCTTTACTGCTATGTTTGGCCGTGATTTTACAGCAACTTTGGTGGTTTGTGATTTAGCCCACTTTATGCATGAGCTGCTTTGACTTTTGCTTGCTGCCCATCTGCTAACCACCACTGCAGGATTACAGGGGTTGACATTAGGCCATTTCACCTGAGTTTTCTCTTTCTCAATAAGAAACAAATGAGTTTCACCTCTGCAGCCAGTAACAGAACATTAATGGACTTTGACAGAAACTGAGAAAATCGGCACTCATATTTTCCTTGCACAACACTATATATTAGTCCAGAAGCAGGAAGGAGTTTTCAGTGTCTGCACATCTCTCCAGAAGGTATTTTCCTGTTTGTTAAAGTCCTACTCAACACGGAAGCCTGGAAGTGGCACAAATAAGCTGCTGTTTCCCAGCCAGCACCAGGTTCAGATACAGCCAGAGACGAGGGCTGCTCCATAAAAGACCAAGAGAGAGCAACACTGTTGGAGGGAAACAAACCAAAAATATGTATCTTTTCACTGTAGTCAGTCATACACCTGATGCTTAACCAGGAAAGACAGACAGGTACCACTATTCAGGTGATCTTATAATCACATAATTTAAGTATCTTCCCCAATCTCCATTTGTCCTGCTACATAAAAGGAAACAGGTAACTTCCTTTTTTTAAAGTAAACTCAATTGGATCATGCATGGTGTTTAACTGGAGTGATAAATACAGATGGTTTAGGAATTCAATTATTTTTAAGTTCTTCTCTAATAAAGCTAGAACAGCTGGTTGCCAGATCCTCAGAGTGCTTCAACTTTGTCAGGAGCATCCAGCATATTTTAAAACCATCTCTTGACCCTACAGAGGAGGTCAATGTTTCTGCTGGCAGCCCACTAGTTATTTTTTAAGTGTCTTGATTTTTTTTCTGTGGCGTAATGCAATTTTACTCATTATCACTACAGATGTCAGACCAAGACTAGCAAGATTACAGCAGTAGCTGGAGCATATGGTTGAGTCATATGAATAATAATCATAAATCCTTTTTGACATTGGCCCATTATTACATCCTGATCATGTCCCCTTGGAATCTCTTGTTTGGTGTAATGTTTAAGTCATTATAAGGTATCTCTGGAGGTCTAGATTTATAGAGCTCTCTATTGGAGAAACTCAGTATTAGCAGTATGTTTATACAAACATAAAACACATGAATATTATATACCAATATATCTACACGCAGTGTATATGAAGACATACAGGAGAAGCAATTAACAATTGACAGTCACTAAAAGAAATGCTTCTGATGACATCTTAAAATCACATGCCTGAACTGTTAAAAAGAAAACAAAGTGGATGTGTATAAAGAAAAGCAGCCTCTTGCACCCCCCACCCCAGATGTAACAGGGGTACTCTAAAACTGAGACTTTTTGATTAGGAAGAGTCAGTCTTGCCTGAGATACCACGTAACGGCCAGTATAAACACTTGCAGGCTAAATACAAATGTGTCAAGTGAGCATCATCAGTAGCACCATGACTTATACACGTTGGAAATTCACTTTTGGTAAAGGCCATTTCCCCAGTTAGGCCAGATTTCTTTTTGCAAATGCCCTCCTGTATTGGAAAGACCCTGGTGGTTGAGCCAGGCTCAGTGGTATTGGGGTGATACACAGCCTGCCTAAAGGAGGTGCTCCCCCTTTGCTCTCTTTCCCACTGTCTCTCTTCCTCCCCTTTTGCCCCACTCTTTTTGGGATATTTACAGGAAATTCATATTTTCCCAGCACTATTCAGCTTCATTGTACAGTGGGAAAATATCCCCTTTATTCACCTACATCTCTATGCTGAATGTACCAGCAGGCAGCTGGAGCACTTGTTTATTTTAGGCTGCCCCTCAAACACGTTACACCAAGTTTTTATGCAGACTGGCAGTTTTCTCCATAAGAAACACCAGTGGCTAAAGCCCAGCTGCTTCCCAGCACGGGCGTGTGCTGCCTGTGCTCAGCAGCACCTGCACCCACCCTGCACAGCCCAGGGAAGGGCTGCACAAACGGGCTGGGTCTGCTCTGCACACAGAGCCTGGTGAGGTGGTGGCCTCACAAGTGGGAGAGGGAGCCTACATCTTGACTTGGAAAGGTTTTAGTTGGAAAACATCCCCATTTCTGTTTCAAGTACAAAAGTGATAAACAGAATAAAATTAATCTAAACATGAAAATACAATAAAAGTAATTCTCCACGTCTGACCATCTGTCCTGACCTTGACTGAAAGAGAAACCAACTTTGTACAGCTGTGGTCATTAAGCTCAACATGGCAAAGACCTGAAAGCTTAAAATGATTCAACACATTTCTGATAAAAAGGCAGCCTTGCTCTTGAAGAAAGAGTAAGGGTGTTGTGGATTTTATCTATCTTTTTTTTTTTTTTTTTGATAGATGGAATACTCATTATTATTGGGAATTGTTTCCCAAGAGTCAGCATGTTTCTTGCAAATAAGTGAAATATTTAGGCGTTTGCCAATTAACAGGGCTTTTGGAAATGCTTCCTATTTGAAGAAAAGAAGCAGATTGCAATACACAGAAGTTATCCAAGAGGATACTCTAGACAGATGCACCAGAGATGACATCTGTCTTGTCATCAGTAAAAATGATACAGAGCATATTGCTAAGTTATTCAGCAATTTCCAAAGAATCCTCTTTAATGCACAATAAGAAACAGATCCTGGTTGTCTTTTCATGGATGTCAGACTTAAACAAAAACACGGAACGCACTTGCAAGCATTGGTGTGAAAGGGAACTTTCAAGTACAGGCCTATTAACTGAAACATTCTGCTATAAGATATCAAAAGACTGCCTATTTGCCACAAACTGCACAAAGTTGTGGTCATTTTTCTTAGTGGCAGTAAGTGGTTTTAATGCAAGTAATGGAATTTAAAACCAGAAAGTCCTTATTACAATCCAGAGTGCCCTTTGTCCTTTGATAATGAACACCATATTAGTGCATTGAAGAAAATCCAAAACCTTAAAATGGGATATGTTGTTTCAGCGCTTAGAACAAAACTTTACTACTGAAAGTTGATTGCATCTCCTTGCATATAGACAAAAATCTAAAACCAAGTTCCAAACTCTCAGTTATGTCAGCAGTAAGAGTAAAATGAAGATGGACAAACATAAAATAAATTAGAAAAATATGCCAAAAAAGTTATAAACTTTTTTTTAAAGTGTGATATTTGGTAGAAATCTATTATATTTGTTGTATTAAAAAAAGATAGTAGGGGAATAAAAGGAGGGAAAGGTTAGGCCAGGCAAAGCAAGGGACTGTAATGCCTGAAATGCATCCAAGGGGCTGCTGGAACTAAATGTATTTCAATTTTAACTGCTCTCACCATAAAACTTACTTAGTAAAAAAATGAAATCAAAATCCTAAAATTAAAAAAATTATTTCAGCTAGAAATGCTGATCAGGGAAATTCCATTTTTGGCATGGGTAAAATTGATTACCATCATAAAATAGGACAGTATTTATTTATACAGTATGCATGGCATTCAATAAAATCTAAAGTCTCTTGTATCCAAAATGTAACACGAAGGTTTAAAGCATATTTCCCAAGTAAACACGCTCTATGATACAGAAAAATAATAAGGTTAACAAATTTTCCTCTCCACCAAATCAATGGATAAGGAGTACTCCTGAGATCAGAAACTTCAGTTAAATTATTTCTCTGTTTGCAATCAACTTACCCATATGCTCTGCTCTGGACCATACAGACAAACCCATCACTGTGGAGTTTCTTCTGGTGATGTAAAGTGCTGTCAGGTGGGGTTAGGATACACCCACTCTGAATGAAGGAAAAAAAAAAGTTTTTAATCAGCCAAGTCCTTCTTCTCCTTAATTAAACATGAACACACCATACTTATTTTGTGATCAGTTTGCTATTACGGACATAACCCAAACTGGTGAGGAACCAAACTAGGTTATAACAGCAAAACAGCAAAAACATTGTTCAATTATCAGTTAAAGATTGAGAACACCTTTACAAGAGTAGAATAAAGATATTGGGGAAAAAAGTCTTTTTGCCCCAGAATTTTGATTTTGTTAAAATGTGAAAAATGCTGTGGCTTATTGCAGGTCAGAAGGAGTTAGCATTTGTTATAGATCTGGCCTTTTGAATATTAAGCATTAAAAAAACCTGGAAACTGTAAATACTGATTAGCTTAAGAAATGGAAAATGTGAATAGTGAGAAACTCAAACTGGTTTCAGATGAAAAGTCGGATCTAGAATTATTAATGAATGTATATTCTCTTTTATTTTGTCTACTTCACTTCTAAATCAGGCAAGTAGAAGGCTGTTCATTCCATCTATTTCCAGATTATTGCAGTGCTGCAGCATCTCACCAAATAGGAAAACTTCCCTTCATTTCAGTTTTTACTGCTCTCCTGATTGAATTCATCGCCAAAGCTTCCACTACCCAAAAAGCTGTGTACCAAAGGCTGCCAGAGGTGCACAGAGGGACTGGAGTGGAGCCAAAATCCCACTGTAGCACACAAAACTGCCTTGCAGGGAGTGTTGCCACAGTCTTTGCCATTGTTTTCTAAAGGACTAAAGTTGCTAAGGAGAAACTGAGTGATTTTGGGAACAAAATTCCATTTAATTGTGGTGAAATCTCATTTGAATGCTCCCTGGATTGTGTTTAAGTTTCCCATCAGCAGTACCCTGCTGTGGAGGATGACAGAGTTATGGGGAATAAATGTCACATTTCCCTCAGGTTATCTGTGTGACACTGGAATGAAGTCAAAGGAGGCTGCTGAGGCAGAAACACACACACAGACATGGGAAAAACCATCTGGCCTGGGAAGTGGGAGCTCACCTGGTGCCCTGTGGGCTGGCCAGGTTATTACAGCAAAGAGCACAAACTGCATCAGAGATGGATTGAATCCTTGCACATTCCCAGCTCCAAGGGAGGAGAGCAGTGACAGAGGTGCAAGAAAAGACAGGGATCCAATGGAAATGCAGGAGGCACAGGCTGGAGAGCAGCTCTCCCTGGTCCAGGGTGATGCTGGGGACACCTGCCTGCCCCACCAGGTCAGTGTCCAAGCAGGGAAAGGTCTCCTTTCCCTGGAATGCTGTGCCCTGCAGGCACATACTGCTGTGGTTACAGGACATTCTCTCCAAGTCACTGCAACCAGTTGCTGCCATGGCTGCCAGAAGGAATAGTGCCTGGAGGTGAACCTTTTTAATAAAAGTGAATAATAAATTATGGGTGGCAATATGGAAAAAATGGGCATGAGAGGAAGGACAGGAAGCCACGTTATTCCATCAGCTGCAACCCCAGCAACGAGGAGAGAATTGGATGCAGCTTGCCATTAATGACCGAAGCTCTTATGTATTTAACAAAATGTTATTTAGTGGAAGATAACATTCTTCTACCACCATCTGGTTTGCTGAAAATAATGTGTAAATCTCTGAAGATTTACAATAAAGAGATAAAGCAATGTTTATGGATGTCTGTGAATTAAAGAGTGTCTTTGATTCTCCTTGCAATATGATGCCATCTTGCCTTGACAAGATTTTTAAGTGGTTGTATAATTTTCAGTATTATTCTTAATGGAGGATGTGTACAAGCTCCCTGAAGAGATTACAGTCTGCATAAGCAATGGACAATAATAGTGCCTGTAGGAACTAACATTTCTTTATAAGCAGTTGAAATATTTATTGCTAATCAGCTCTATATGGCTTTATAGCAACTTGAAAGACAAGCCAGCTCTGCACAGACACCAGTAAGGGTATGAGACAGCTCTCTTGTCATCAGCAAAATGATATACAGCAAACTATTGGATAATTCAACTAGAAATGCTCGGAGATCACCTTTGCAAAATATGAAACAGAACCCTGAGTTTTTCTTTGATGTTAAGGTTTTACAGAGCAACAATAATGTGCTCTGGATGAAGAGGGACATTGCTTTGATAAAATACATGATATTCAGTCCTACATATATTTTCAGCCTTGGAACACTGCATTCTCTTTACAAGACTATATTTTTTAGTGCTATGGACACTTCAGAAGAGCAAAAATGTGATGCATAATAAAGTTGTGACACACAGAAGAGTAGTAAAAGACTAGTCCATATTTCCTGGCCCCAGCCAACTGACAGGGTTAAAAAGGTTAATACCCTGACACAGGACACCAGCAGCTACTGTTGTATGGGGAATTCTTTTATTTTTTTATGTTACTTGTCATAAGAAAAGGAAGGGAATATCTTAAAGCTCTTTAACTCAAGCCAAACATCTTCAAACAAACAACTTTAAAAAATTCAGATCTGAGGGAATTTTCATTTATTTTCCTGTGTAGTTTAAAGCCCAGTGCTGGTTGAAAAAAACCCAATCTTCTAAAGCAACTATAAGATATTATTGTATGTTTTAGATGATAGTAATAATCTATAGTGCTGTCTTTTAATGAAATGTTAGCTAGTGGATTTGTTTTCATGCACATGACTGCTTGCATAGTCACTTTTCTCCTTTTAAATTTAAAAAAAAAGGTCAAGAAATTAAACAAAAATGTTAAAATGCTCAGATTGAAATTTAAAATATAGAATAAAAATACCTATTTATATTTATGAGCCTAATGTCTGTTTAATTCAATGGGATTTAGGTGCATAAATAATTTCAAAAATCTTGAGGGGACTTACATTTATGTATTCATGAATACTTAAAATCAGAAAGTAGCTGTATAAATTCTCTTTTTTCAGTATTATATAATATTAACTTTGCATAAACTTTGAAAAATCCTAGTTAGTGCAATTTGCCCCTTGTAGGGGAGATTTCAGTGGTGTATTCAGTGAAATTTTCACTGGAACTTATGAGCATTTGGCTTCAGAGACACAGCATTAACAAGGATGCCTTTTCAAAGAGAAATTCCAGCCACTGGTCTGGTAACGATATAGTCTTTATCTCCAAAAAACAGACTAAGAATATTTATGCTTGAGGAAAAGACCTGCCTGTGTAAAAGAATGTTCAGTTTTTCTGTATTCACATTTATAGGATATTTTGCAAGACACACTGGAATATTTTATTGGAGCTGAAAATAGAGCCATCATAGCTGAGCCTGCTTAACCCATTTTCACTGCAGAAACCTTATTATTATTATACCTGTTCACAGAATTCAAGAAAGGGCTTTTAAAAATGTTTGCTCATTTTTCATTTGGGGGCTTTATTTGCTTTTGTTTTGTTTTTAATCAGTCTTAAAACATCTGCTTTATCTGAAGAAAAACATTCACATTTTGACAGTATTTTACAGAAGGCATTTTAAACTTCTAATTCAGGTCCCAGTTTACAAGGGAAAACCTTTTCTCTCTCACATGCTAAGGTGATATGGATTTTTAACGTGTGTTCTTGCATCTCTTTTACATTTAGTTGCAAACCTCCATATTATGCAGAGACCCAGTTGTCTGAGCAACAACATATAGTGCCATACACAAAGCTGGGATGATGCCTGCCAGGGTATTCTGCAGCTCCCTGTGCATCCTCTACCCTGACAGATCATGGCTGGGAGGGTAATTTATCACTCACGAGAAATATTGCTTCTTTTCCCAACAGTAAAACAACAACTGCTAATTATTATTTCATCCTCAATCACATTTCCATAAGGGACTGGGAGAAAAATCTCTAAGGAGTAGCATTATGAAGAATCTGATCCAAAACTGCAAAGAATTGCAAAGATAGCTGTCCTGGTGGAAGACAAAATAAGGACTGGTGAGCTCCCAGCATTTCTGGGGCAGGACACTCAGGGAGCTGTGGGGTGAGGCTGGGAGCCTGTGGGAGTAGGACCCTCCAACCAGGCCCAGCAGGATGAGCCCAGGGTTGGGCTGGCCCCAGCAGGATGAGCAGCTCTCAGGGCTTCCCTGGCCCCAGAAGGATGAGCAGCTCCCAGAGCTTCCCTGGCCCCAGCAGGATGAGCAGCTCTCAGGGTTTCCCTGTCCCCAGAAGGATGAGCAGCTCCCAGAGCTGGGCTGGCCCCAGCAGAATGAGCAGCTCCCAGAGCTGGGCTGGCCCGGGGGCAGGGGAGCCCTGTTTGCACAACACTTCATCTCAGTTAAGAAATCTGCCAAATCCAAGATCTCAGGGTCCACGGCAAAGATAATCCTTAGACCAAATAAGCGAGCACGGCTAATTGAGATTTGACAATGCGGCATTATTCACTTCAAGTATAAATTATAAACATTGTCTATTTATTCTGACTTGTACCTTCAGCATAGTTCAAGATATTGAGATCCTGGGAGCAGCTTCTGTGTGACTGAGCTAACTAGAGTACAGTCCTTGTTAATGATGCGGAAACCAACCTGAACAAAAATCAAGAACTGCTTAAGCTTTAAGCTGACACTCCAGCCAAGCCAAATATTTTCAGCTACGTAGCTACATTGCTGCTCTGATTTTTTTTTTTTTTCCCATGATATGTCTTTATCTGCAGGTCACCCAGCTCTCAGGCCAGTTCCCATTTTATGAGTGGAGGTGAAAGAGCAGGTTAGGTAGGAAGGTGTTTATCTCTTGTGCTCTCTGCCAGATACTTGGTTTCTGTTCCTGCTGCGGTTAATATTTGGTTCATCTTTGACTTCTTCTCTTCAATCTAATTTTAAAGTCACAGAGATAATAAATCTGAGATTAGACAGTTTTGGTACGGAAAACTACAGAATTAATTTTAAAGTTAATTTAGTTTTGGTGGTAGTCATTCAAGGAAACTGTATTTCAAGTAACAGGCTGTTTTTATAAAATATAATTTTTGTTGTTTTTACTAGATGAAAGATAAAGTACACAAGCTACATTTTCTTAAGTAAAAGCAGCAGTAAATATTAACAAAAAGTAAATCTAGCAACAACTACTCACTGTCTCTTGCAGTACCATAAGTTCATGGGGATTTTATTTCCCAGGTTAATACATTTTGCTTCTCTTGGGACTGAGGGACCCTATTATCTAAAATTGTTGTGGATGGGAGAAGAAATGGTGCTTCTGCAGCCTTGCAAGCATCATCTTGATTTGTGCGGAGATGAGGACAACAAACCCCTCTTCCAAAGAGAGATTTTGGGTGTTTCATCTACCTGTTTTTGTCCAGTCTCTTTAACACTAAAAGATCAAAAGAAAGTACTATGGAAATGGGGAGTGTATTACTCCAGGCCTGGTGGGAAGGCCAAAGCTTCTGCATTAGTAGAAGAGGATTGTAAAAGTAGAAAACTGTAAAAAGGGTTTAAAAGCTGACTTCCCCCTGCTTGCTGGAGTTTGGCACAGAAAATACAGGACTGGTAGAGAGAGATCTTTTAAAAACTATTTTTCATTTTATATCAGTTAAAAATAGTCCCTGTAAATTTTATAGTAAATTTTATTCAGCTGAAAATCCCTAGCTCGTTACCAATGCCTTTGGAATTAGTCACTGTCACAGCAAATTAGGAAGGGAAGGTGAGCTGGAGACTTACCCCATGCAGCTCGTGGGAGCAGGACTGGCACGAGGAGCTCCATGGTTCGGAGACTAAGGAGCCAATTCCAGAAACTGAATTTTTACTATGTCAAAGTGATCCTATGTGTATGTATTTAAGAGTCAGGGAAGCCAAAGCAAGCAAATTGAAGAGTTAATGCAAAGGCAGATTTAAAGCAAGCAGCAATGTACCATTACAGCTATCCAGGCTCCCTGCAGATTATTGCCACACAGAGAAATTATGCCTTGTGGTTTCCTGACATGTTCTTTAGTGCATGATCAGGCTCCAAATGACTCTGGCCACATGATGTCAAAAGCAAACCTTCTAAAATACGCTGTGACCTGCAAAAGGCTCTTGGTCCCCAAGGAACCCACCAGCCTCGTGCACGCCTGGTGCACACGGGGAAATGGCAGCCCTTACAATATCTGCAGGGGCAGGGGCTCCCTCAGGTTTTCATCCCATGCTTTCCCTCTCCAGGTTTCCTTGTCTTGGAAGTCCTGAGCCCTGCACAGGCTGCTGTGAGCCCAGCTCATCCTGCCTGTGGTGAGGGAGAAGAACGATTGCACATGGTGGTGACATGGGCTTCCCCTCCTCTTGCACCCAGTATTCCTGGCATCCTCAGCAACACATTACACTGTGATTTAATGGAGTGGGGAAGAATATTTTTACTATTTTTACCTCATCAGAAGGGTTTCATATTGGTTTTCCTTGTTTTATGGACTACTTGCAGTAAAGAGTTGTGGGTGACACGGTGTCAGCGTAGGGCAGGAAAGCCCTCACCTTGGCAGCAGGTGGAACTGAGCCTGTCCCGAGGCTGCTGGCAGGTGTGACCAGCCACCCTCCTTCCAGGTACTCATTCCAGAGCACCTGGGGAATGGCCTGGCCAGCCTCCCCTCCCCAGTGTGCCCACTGGGACATCCCAGCTGCCAGACACTGCTGGGAGAAGGGAGTGCACTCTGAAATTGATGGGTTTGAGTTGCAATACTTTCCCCTTCCTTTCTGTGATAGATGTTCCTTAGGAGCATATTTTGATCACACTTGCATTAGGGGAACATGAGAATGTAGTGCAGAAAAAGTAGAAAAGGGCAGAGGTTGGGACATTGTTGGCTCCTTCTGGCAGTGGTGCTTGCTCCATTCCCTCAACAGGTTCCCTGCAGAAGGGAACAGAAGGTACTGCCTGTGCTCTCTGGGGACTGAGCTTTTTAAAGCAAGATTCTGGTATTTACCCATGTCCCAGTGCTGAGGTCATTGTGCAAATCCACGTATCAGAAAAAGAGAAAAAAATAAAAAGAGGAAAAAACTCCAAACATTTGGTTTCAGAGCCCGCAGATTCCCCAAGGCTGCATGTTTAAATTGCAGGATTCTAAATTTTAATTTGTTTATGGATCTTTAAAAGTGCAAATTACCCCTGAAAGTAGCAGATACTTCAGTGCTCAGAACATCTCCAGCCATGGCCATTCTGCCTGGGAGGAGAGGAGGAACCTGGACAAGCCTTGCAGTGGTACAAAATGAGAAAGAAGGACAAGGAAAGAGAGAGCATAAACATATCATCCCTAATATGCTGGGGTTGTTAAAAGAAATCTCATATAAAAGATATAGAAAACATTATACTGTTATTAAATTATTTTATATATAGATACACACATTACACTGTAATTAAATTCTTTTATATTAAATTAATAAAACCTTATACTGTAATTAAATTCTTTTATATATAGATACACACACAATGTTACTAAATTATTATTCTGGATTAGGTATTTATGTACTTCACTTGTTACTATCCAGTAAAAATGAGAAGAAAATTAACCCTGCAGAATTAACATCTAAAATAAAATTTTATGGTTTCACTTGAATTAATGTTGCTACAGAAACTAAGCAAAGCCAAAGGTTTCTGACACAACACTCATGTAACTGCTACAAGAGTGGAAAAGAAATGTCAACCTGAAATGCTGTTATTTGCCTTGCCAGCTTTAAGCCCTGGATTTTGTGGGCTGGTACTATTCAAACGTGTTATTTCTTTTTAATTATCATGCCAAGAATAATGTTTTTTCCCTGATAGAACACACTCTTGCCCAGGGAAGGAAGAACTCTTTGTTACATGTATATTTACTTTCTCACACACAGTGAAGACATTTAAGCTCAGCAAAATTCCTAGGGAAGTGCTTCAGAGGACATGCATTTAGAAATCTAGTTTGCTGTCGTTTTTACTGGGGAGGGACACATATCAGTGAAAGAATAAAGCACATTATAAAGGTACTACTTGAAAAATATAAATAGATGGTTCAAAACACACCTCCATACCAGCTTCTGAGAAGAAAATTAACTCTACCCCAGCCCAAATCAGCACATAAACAAAATTCAGGGGAAGTTTAAAGAGGATTAAATGCAAATTCCTCTGTAGAAATGAAGCTTGCCTATATCAGAACTTAAAAACCATCAAAACTAGACCTTGGCTAGTTATTCCTGATCGATGTTTCAATGACAGTCACAGCCCCTCTGGTTAAAAAATGCTTTCCAATTTAACTTCAGCCCTTTTTCCAAAACATTTATTTTAAAATCCCCTCTTACCTCTATGAAAGTATGGCCCATCTCAGGGACTGCTGAAAAGCTACTGGCATTGGGCAATATTCCACACACTTGTGTGTGATAATTACTGTTCACCTGACCCATGTTACCAATCCCTCCCCAGACTGGAGAGCCCCTAAGTCAGATACTAGATCCAAAGTAATCAGACATGGAATTGCAGAGCAAATATTTTGCCAGGAACGTATTTACAGTCTTTTTTTCTTCTTACCGCTATGCCCAATATTATTAATTAATATTAATAATTTCTAAATATCTTTTGTGACAGTTTGAATGAAGTATCTGGTTGCAAACACCAAAATAAATTCAACAGACTTATTCAAATCCTTTCTCACAGAGTATTCACCCTTCTTTATTTAAAGAGTATGCTGGGAATAAAGTGGACTTTGGGCAAAGCAATCCCCGTTGGAGACTGGAGAGCATTCCATTAAGGGGAAGTGTCTCCAGGAGGCACAGGAGCAGAGGCTATGCGTGATCTGCAGTGGCAGTTGTAGGAAACCTCTGGAAAAGCGTCCCCAGTCCCTCCCTGTGCCTGCAGGCAGCAGGAGCCAAGGGCAGCCTTGCCTGAGGCAGCTCCTGCCTCTCCCCAGGTGATTTCCATCCCTCCCTCCTGCTGCTCCATGCAGGGCACACAAGGGATGTCACCTGTCCACAACTTGCTGGGCTGTGCCTGGGTACCTGCATGCTCCTGTGCACCAATTTCCTTCCCCAAAGCCTCTTTCTGTCATATGTCCACCCCCTCCTTGAGTATTCTCATTTTAGAATAATATAAAGTTTTAAGTAATCTTTTTTGGTTTTTTTTTTTAGGCTTTTTTTCAGACTCAGTCAGGAAACTCGGAAGTGGGCAGGAGTTAAGCATTTTTGATTCTAATAAAATTTGAAAACAGCACATCTTCCAGAGTACTCATAAAAGTAAGCAGGAATTAGGTTTTGGAATTCTTTACAGATGTAAATTCTTTAAAATTCTTTTCATAACCTTACACATTTCAGCAGTGATCCAAGAGAAGTAGAAAAAACAAGTGGCAATATAATACTACAATGTAATATAAAAACAGAGATTAATAGCAGGAAGCTATGGGCTGCTCCATCTGAGATTGCGTGGGGAAGTCTTTGGAACTATTTTAAGTGACTCCAGCTTTTTTATTTATGAGAAGTACTTGAATGTTGACATTGAAAGCAAGTTTTGCAAATTCTCAAATACAGAATCTACAAGTACAGTAAATAAAGGAAAATGCTGTGAGATTAGAATCAACAACAAATCCCCCAAACTTTCAATCTTTAACATAAAATGACTAATGGATGAGAAAGTGACTTTCAGTTTAGATAACAAGAGCCAGCTCTTCAGATCAAATAAATGTACAAAAGGAAAACCAGAGCCCTGTTTCTAGCCTGTGAGAAACAGTAAAACTCTACTGACTGCAAAGGAGAAGAAATGAACCCCTTGAAGTAGACAGCTGCAGAAAAGCGAAAGCCTTTCAGACAATGAAAAAAATTCATAATTTGACTCATTGCTGTCAAAATGCAGAGAATTGAGAGAAATGGGAACTGACAATATTGCCTGCAGAAACATCACAAGTGTTCTAATGGGGCTTAAGTAGCAAGAGCAGAGTCACTTCCTAAACTGCCAAAAGATATTCAATATAAACAATTCAGTCACTCACTCAAAAATTCAGTCAATCCATGCTGCAATCTTAAAACTTAACAGTGAATGAAAAGGCTGTTGTACTCTGGAGCAGAGTGTTTATGTTAATCACATGGATAGTTATTTGCACCTTCCTTTGCTCTGCTTTATTGTTCAAAGCAATATTTTTTTCCCAAGAAGACAATCCTTAATTACATTCTGCCTTTGTTCATGGTATCTCTGTTACCAAAACCAGCATGGAATTATAGATTTTTAAAGCCAGAAAGAGCCATTACAACACAGATCATATTTTTCATACAGTGGTTCATGCCTCTGGAACTGCATTTTGCAGGTTCAACCTAAACTTGTCTTTTAGAAAGTTATCCAAATTTGAACTCATAGTGGTAGAAAACCTACCACATCCTTTGACTGTCTGTTTCAAATGCCCATTGTTACAATTCCATGCTCACAATTCCTATATTTGAAGAAAAAAAAAAGATAAATAATAAAAAACCCCTGATTTTATGTTCTTGGATCTAAGACAGAGTAAGGCCTGTTTATTGGCAGCAAAGAGCACCTCTTCCTATTAGCGTGCTAAACATGAGGTTACAGGTCTGAGAAACTTCTTCACAGAGATAAATGAACACCTGAGAAAACACAGGCTTGTTAAAAAATGAAGGTGCATGGCTCTACTATGTGGCCCTGTGCCAACAATATGAAAAAGCAACTCCCAGCACCTGCACGTGCACGTACAGGTTTTGATTTTAGCAGATAAGTGAGGGTGCATGCCACCTATTAAAGTGCTGGAGAAAAGCTTTGATCCCATTGACATCTCCTATATGTGTGTGCTTGTGTGTATAGGTGTACCTATTATATATATTGAAAGGTATTTTAATTATTCATGTAGGAGCCTTTTTTTAGATGCCATTTTGTTTCCTGCAGGTTTTTGTGTTTATCACTCAGTGATACCTGGGATGACTGAGAAGTTGAGCAAGAGGGAAGGCCCATGTTTTGTAATTTTATATGCTTTATTGAGCAAAGCACCTGGAATGAAATACTGCCTCTGTCAAAATCAGTGCCAAAACTTCCACCCATTTCAGCAAGGCCAGAATTTCAGGCCCAAGTCAAAAGGTCATCTCAGGTGCTGAAAGGTAAACATCTGCCTCAGCAGAAAAGAAAGTTCCCTCATTGTTGGCTCAGATGCACAGACAAGACAAGGCAAGACACAGCAGATGAGGCCAAAAGCTTTACTTGTCACTCTTCAAAATATGACTTTCATGAGCAATGTCCAGGGCCTGAATATGTGGTTATATCAGAATCCCTAGAAAATTGTTTTTGAAACCTGGAGACTGTGTGAATTGAAGATGTTAATGGGCCTGGAGGTCCCTCCTGCCTCCAACACGTTTGACACCCCAGCTCCTGACCAGCTGCAGCCTGGCCCTGGGCTGTCACTGACCTGTGCTGGACCTGTCCCCAGAGGCTCTCAGGGGACTGATTCCTCTTGTACTGTGGCATATTATGCAGATATTTTCCTATTTTACCTTTCCTCCTATGCTAAGAAGACTGGGTACAGGGAGAGGGCTCCATTTCTGCCAGCCTTGGCAGGCCTGGTCTCTTCTGGCTCAAAGCTCAACTGCACCATTTGGTGGTTGGAGTGCTGCTCCTGCTGGCCACTGTAGCCCAGGAACCAGCTGAGCTCATTCCTCCAGAGACTTAAGACCTTTTTCTTGTCTCCTCTTCCTGCCAGTTCCTGCCTGGAGCCTGCTTAGAATCAGGAACAGAGTCATTTACCTGGGAAGAGCTCAGCCAAACATCCAAGCCAGCAGCAGGGCATGGCAAAACTGAAACTTAAACATTCTCTTAGGCAATCTGCTTTATTTCCCTGTTAGTTAGGCATCCGTCTATTACACTAAATTTCTAAAAGCTTCAGTCATTCAATTTTTAAATGTCTCAAGCAGGAAGGCTTCCACAATGCTTTTTCACACTCTCAGCCCTTATTCCTTGCTCCAGAAGTGCTAATGCAGTTGCTCAGTGTCAAACAATCTGCCAGAACAGCATAAAAACAGAATTCCTTGCCAGGGAAGCCTTAACACAGAGTAAGAAGGAGAAATATTTTCTTCTTAGGGGTGTGATCTTTTTTTTTAATTTCCTGTAGTTAATTATGGGTGTTAACACACTGTATCCACAAGCAGATACAGAAAAGGCAAGACATAGTCAGCTTTTACTGCATATCCAACTGCTCTAGGCACTGAGGCTCTGATTCAGTCAGTGAAGTATGGAAACAT